AGAGGCGACATAATTCACTTTGCCGGGTTTTACAGTGTAGGGGTACAGAATCGGTGAAAGGGTCAATCGAAATCTGTTCCCCAGCTGTGCAGCCCTCTCACTCACCCCTAGGCCCAGAGAGAACGAAAGAGAGAGAGAAATGCTCGGGGGGAGATGGACCCCACAAACGTACCCCCGAGCTGCCTGAGCATCACAAACCTGTTCAGCCAACTCCAACTACATCAATCCAGATTGTGTAGGAATGCAAACAAGTTAAAACCGAATGAAAATATACACAGTGTTTCTGAATTGTGATTAGATATTAAAATAATGTGGGTAATAAGTATGAGATCATGCACAGATCCTCATTTCTGAAGAGCTAAAATTCAATGTATGTGTCCGAATAATGATTTTCCTTCACTACACTGACAGCACAAATCCAAAAAAAAAGGTTGCACTTTCCACCAAGCTCAGCCCTGGACACCTACCTATCACCACCACAGCCAACACATGGTATTATTTACAGGATCACATGAAAGTTTCAAATCAAATTAAGCTCTCACTTTTGCTTCTTTCGTCCAGATTCACTCACTTTATTGTGTCTTAAGAGAACACACTTTACTACACCCATACCCATAAAACCCATATCCTGCCATCAGTGTATATTTGAGATTAAAATAGAGCAAAAATGTGTTGCAAAAATGCACTAGGATTAATTAAAACGAGTGTGAAAGGGAAAGAAAGAAACTGAGGAAGAGGAGATCTTTAAGGTAGCAGAAGATGTGCTTGTGTTTTTGCCAGACAGTTAACTGAATCATTCGCATAATACTAACAAAATGCGCAAAATACTAACAAATTAAGCATTATAACAACTATATGTTAGGCAAAATAATAATAATGATAAATAAATAAGACAACTTTTTAATCATTTAAGTCGCCTTTTTAAATCTTTCAGTCTTAATTTAAGATGGCATCATGACACGTTCGCTTGGTTTGCGTTTGTAAGGAGCGCGGGGGAATTTTGTGTTGTGTGTGAGGCTGATAATTGGCTAGAGCAAATTATTTTTTATGAGGGAACCTGTTTTGCAAATGACTTTTTTTTTTTGCAGGGCTGCTATATGATGAAAAAACACGGCTCTTTCACACACTCCATTTATAACTTTCTGCATGAGAAATGACTATGAAATGCGCGTGATATTTTGACCGATTTTTTTTTTTTTATATATAATTAAATAAATACACGTTTTTTTCTTGTTACATTGCTTATATGTTAGGGACTTTTTGTATGCTATGCAGTGCAACTTATATGCAACGCGACTTTTTTCTCCACCAAATAAATAATTCAGGATGTGAGTTTTTATCTCATGTAGGGTAATTAGATGCCCAAAGACTTTGCATTTTTGTCTCTAATTAATATCAGAATAAAACATCAGCAGTTTGGTCTGCAAATACTGGTGATCTACAAGGTGCTCGCGACTTTTCAATGTTAGCGAAACTAAAGGCTGCGGATGGGCAGGTGATTTTGGCCACTTGCACATGGCAGCTGACTTCCGCTGTAAGTTTAAAACATCTCCTTTATCCAGCCTACACAATATGCAATATTAATATACCGAGGGGATTTATCTACGAGCGTATTTAAGGGAATCGCGAAAACATGTAAACGCAGCAGATCTCTCTCTGTATTACAAGTTTTAATGAAGAGTACAATTATTTGTACATTAAAAAACGCCTTGCAAGCTTATGTCCTGAAGACGTTTTGATTTCAGGATGCATCCTTTTTCACACACTAGCAGAAAATAACCCGTCTCATTAAGTGTGTTTTTGCTCACTTTAGTAGGCTATTTATATATATAAACATAAAATCGCAATTATTTATTAATTAATTTTAGACCACGCGTTGGGTAATGCTTGATGCTGCAAATTAATTTTATATAATAAATAAAAACACAAAGTTTTCTCACAAACTCAAATATCCCCCAAAACAATCAAAGACACTAAATTAGCAAATCCAATATTCCCTAAATTCTCGCCAGTTCTCTCTGTGCGTTTATTAAGTGACAACAAATCGGAAATTTTAGCCCTAAAACGCACGTGTATTTTCTAAAAAAAAGTCCTTTACTTATTATTCCATTAATATGCTATTCTTTTTAAAGAATTAGTGTGATGCTCCCTGTTCTTTTCTCTCCCATTTTCTCTGCTTCTATATTTTCATAACAATTATAACATGATATCACGGCCTATGTAATAATAATTTTGAGCTGTTTTTTTTTTTTTTTTTTTTTTTTTTTTTTGTCCCTCTGCGTAAAACTCCTGCAAGCCAACTTGAGTCTAACCTACACGTATTTCTCAAAATCCCAGGTCTCTCTTTGAAGGGTGAGACAGAACAGTATACATTTCCTCAGTGTTTCAACATCATTCTAGGAACCAGGGGAGAGTAAATGCGGAGGAACTCGCTGTCCAAAAACTTTGTTCCAAGCGCAAATGGTTTATTTTGTATGCATTATTGGTGAAATAGAAAGACACGCTGTGGTGCGTAAGTTTGACTTTTCTCTATTTTTTAAACAGGCCTAATAGTTTTGTCTATGGCCGCGCAATAACCTCACAAACTGCACTTTTGCGCTTTGAGCATGCTTTAACATCACATAAATGAGATAAATCAAAATAAATGATTTACGATGAATTTGAATCACCTAGGCCTATAGGAAATTGCAAAAGCGCTCAATGTAGGTAGGCTATTGCATATTTTATTTATAAACATAAACTTTAAACTCAGGCTCGTCATTGATTCTCACTAGACATGTCCCCTGCGATGCACGTGAATCATCATTAGATGAGTGCGATTTTGAAATATCGATATTTTCAGTTAACAAAATGGCATGAGCGGGACATTCCTACACAAAACAAACTGAAAGATCTCCAGCTCTCTTTCAACTACAAAGAAATCAGGTAGAACAATGTTTTCTCATGTGTGACAGGCAGTGTAACCAGAGTACGCCTTTCTGGAGCGGCGCGAGTGGCTTTTTCTTCAGCGCGTAACGATGCGCCATCAGATTTCAACACGTCTACAACTAACTAACAGCTGACAAACTGATTTAAGAACGACCGTGTTACGTGCGACGTCCCTGTAGCACTTCTAAATTCAAAACAATTGATTTCAAAACACTTCTGACTGTGGCCAAGCGCTTCCTCTAACGCGCATCGGACGCTCCGTTTCACGCACCCAACTACTTGGAATATGAACAACTTGGAGCTTGTTGGTGGTGTTTACCTTTGCGCGGCTGTGTTGGCATCCAGTATCCCCGCGCTCTGCATCCAAGAGCGCACCGGCGTCATGCCACTCGTAAGGGGCTCTTCTTTCATGGTCAAGGCTCCCCGTGGGAGACCGTCCTGGATGGAGAACATGAAAATTGCCTTCTGGGGGATGTCTCTCTACACCAGCTCGAGTGGAATAATCCTCCTGCACCACCTGGATTAACAAAAACCAACTGAAAGGGAAAAAATCTTCCCCAAAGTGCAACAAGGGGAAAGAGGTCCTTATCCAAAGACGCGCTGCCGTATCCCTTTGGGTGTTCCTCTTTCTTTTAGATTCCAACCCCAAATTCAGTTCACTCAAGATTAACAGGTCTCTAGTTAAAAGAGGGTGGAGAGAAGGCAATAGCTGTGGAGCATCTCAAAGGAAACGATCAGCCGGGATCAAGCAGACCTTCTCGTCGCGGGGAGAAAGAGGGGAGAACGCGAACTTGCTCTGAAGAAGAAGGCGAACAGACGCGCACGGGATTGTGAAATGAAAAGTGGGATAAAACGGGCGACTGCTTCAAAAAGGAGTAAAATGAAATGATTACCAAACAAGAGGGAGGGATGGACCAGGGAAGGCTTGCTGTCCCTGGGGAAAAGAGGGATTGGGTAGCAAGAAATCTCATTCCCTCCCTCCCCGTCTCTTTATGCCTCTTCTGTCCCAGCGGAGCGCACCTTCTCTCGGGTTCCGCGGCTTCAGTGCTCTCGGGGGGGACAAGCGTGGACCTGACGAGGGCGGAGACTTGCCCTTAAAAGGCAAAGTCATTTACATGTCGATCTTCGTTCTGAGCTCTGATTGGTCACGGTCATCCCTTGCGTCATTTTCAAAATTCGCCGCAAAAACTCAGCTGATGTTAGTGGGACTGAGAGCTCTGGCAGTGGAAGTGGTCTCATGCTTTCCAGATTTAACATGAAACATGCCCTTAATACCCAGGAACATTCACGATGCATTTCATATGCCTAGCATGATTAAAGCATACTCGACTAGGTATAGCATATCGTTTTCCAGAAGTCAAATCTGTCTAAAAGTTCAGCCGGTATGATTTGAAATTCTAAACATTAGCCTAACTGAACGCGAATCCAAAGTTTTACTGTAAGTACTATACTACACGTTCCCTGGTACTCAATGGTGTTTCAACAGATGACAAAGCGAAGTAATATTCCATAACACTGTCAAACATCTCTTTTTTTTTTTTTGTAAAACCGTGAGGAATCAAGCTGTCCTCCTGACTCTATTGATTGGCTACTCAATTGATGAATTGGAATAAATATTCAAATATGACAAACCACGGGGTGATTTGTAGCTGCATAAACTGTTAATAATATTATAATATTAATTATTATTAATACTATTAGTTATTATT